GTCGGGAACGATGCGTTAACGGGGTGCATCGTTGCACAGTCCCTCAAGTCTCGGACCGTTCGCCAGAGAGATTCGATCTGATCTCTCAGAGATACCCTTTCACGGCGCAACAAATCCATCTCACGACGAAGTCTGATAACCTCCTTTTCCAGGGTAAGGTTGTCAGCCCTTGAGACCGACTACATTTTTAATGACTCCAAGAACATTTTTAAGACGACAAGTAAAAAACAATATATAATATTAAACGACAAAAATTCTTTTAAGCTGAACAGCGATAAGGGCCAAAGCAAGACAGGCCAAAGACCCCGATAGGTGTCAACAAGGAGAATGAACCAATTCGAGCAGACACAACAGTTACAGACAAGGGAGACATCAGGAATAACGAAGGCGACAGCAGGAGCTGACAAGAAGATCTCTCTCCTGCTAAAATATGACAGTTACAGATTAAAGACAGATTGACATTAAATGAGACATAATAATTAATATTACAACAATTACATTTATTATATTATACGTTTTAATAGTTTATTATTTAGGAATGTATACAAATACTTATGATTAATATTAAGATAAAAAATTTAGATAAGAATAGAATGTAAAAGTTTACGTTCTTATTTGCATTATAAAGGTTTGATATAAAAAGAAAAGAAAAGATTTCATTAAAAATATATATTCTCAACATTCCTACAATTTTATAAAAGAAATACACTTTACAGAATGGTTAATTACAAAGATTTTGTTATATTTTACGTTTGAACAATTTTATAATTTTATATTACATTAACGATAGTAGGTATAAGCGTTAACATGATTAAAGAAAAAAGAAAGAACATGAATAAAAATACTACTTACCTTAACCTTCCTACGAACCTATAAAGGATTCCGGAATTTTTTCACAGCGACCTGAAATATAAAAAAGAGATTAGTACGATAAAATGAATTAATAAAAAATATTAGAGTGTTAGAACATTAATAAAAAGAGATAACAAGAATTATAGTCGTTGTAGAAATGAAGGAATACCTGTAAATAAAAATAACTGTTAGAAATGACCGTTACTCATTGATATACCACCTTGATCAAAAAGGTCCCGGAATTATTAGGTGCGCAACTAAGTTCCCGCTGTTTGTCAATAGATGATTCCAGCAGTAAGTGCTGGTCGATTCTGACATAATCTAAACGTCATGAACCAAGCTTAGACATATGGTAAACAAACCGCTTCGACACATTAGTGATTTTGTTTTGACGTTATATTCTTTTGGTTGTGTAAAAATGTCTGATTTTGTGCCAAAGAATCGTCATATGCGGGAAGTATTGATTTTCTTCTTTCATTCGAAGAAAACGGCGGCTGAAGCGCATCGAGAGCTCCAAAAAGTTTACGGAGATGCTGCTCTAAGTGAAACAACGTGCCGAGATTGGTTCCGTCGCTTCAAAGACGGTGATTTCGATGTTGACGACCGTCGGGACCAGGTCGGTGTTATTTATTATGAGCTGTTGAAACCGAACGAAACCATCACTGGGGAACGGTATCGACTTCAATTGATGCGATTGAGCCGAGCACTGTGCGAAAAACGGCCACAATACGCGGAGAGGCACGAAAAAGTGATTCTACAGCATGACAACGCTCGGCCTCACGTTGCAAAACCCGTTAAAACCTATCTGCAAACGCTGAAATGGGAAGTCCTACCCCACCCGCC